GGTCATGCCAGGGCCCCCCAGGGGGATACCACCCACTTTGGGGGACCCTGATTTAGAGTACGATTTTAAATGAAACTGCCTGGTTATTTGTCATGATAGAATCCAGCTCTTCACTGCAGGGTCAGTAGAACACCTCTCTACCTCATACAAAGCCCTCCTGGTGTCCGAGCACGAGCTCGAAGCTGGTCTCACACACGTGTCAGCCCCTGCAGCCGTCCGATGCCAGCAGCTTCCTCATCACTCCCAGCTGTCGAGGGCGTTTCCTGGTGCCGTGGTATGTGGCACTTCCCCTACTGGGTAGACCTGGCCCCCGAGAAGTGGTACTCTTCTGCGCACAGAGTGATCACGGAAGAAAGTTCAGTTAGGCATTGCCCTGCCAGGCTCAGCATGACTCAGCTGGTGAGGCCCTCGCAGGTGTTTTTGAAATGTATTGAACAATTCCTTAGCAACCACCTCGAGCACAGTTAAACAGCTCTGCTTTTAGTTCGGCTTTTACTAAGTCTCCTGGAGAGGTCAAATTCAAGCTGCACCAAAAACAAACTGGAGCATTTAAAATGAGGTTTTCAAAATCCCTGATCTGCTCGTGAAAAAAACAAGTAAAAGTCATGGTTTCTCAAATTAGAGAATGAATACCAAAAAACCCCAAACCTGCTGCCATCAAGTCGATTCCAACTCATAAGCAACTGTATCGGACAAAGTAAGACCCGCCCCTAGGTTTTCTGAGACTAAGACCTCCGTGGGAGCAGACAGCTTCCTCTCGCCTGTGGAGCAGCTGGTGAGTTTGAACTGCCAACCTTGCAGTTAGCAGCCCAACACTTAACTGCTGCACTAGGACCACCTTTGTTGTTGTTGGCTGTGCTCATCTTAGCCCCCTACCACATCCCATTGGTATATACTTCACGAATCGTACAATTCAGTAGTTCAATCATATCAAGAAGAGTTGTGTCACCATCACCACATTCTGTTTTAGAACTTTTTTCTTTCTTGTCCTCATCACTGGTAGTCCCCTTCCATCCCCATGCCCGCCCCCCACCAACCTCCCTTCCCATACCCCTAAGACACCATGGATCCAGTTCATGTCTCTAGCTTTACCTCACCTGGATGTCATTTACAGAATCCCTTTTAAAAGTAAAAACATAGCAACAATAACAAGGGAAAACCTCCGTTAAAAAGAAAGCAGTAAACATTAAAAAGCTAGAGCAAATTTAACATGTATGAAAAGGGAGAGCAAAAGATAAGGGGTTAAATTTTAACGTGACCACGTCTGTGCTCATTCACTTTCCGATGCATTCCGGTACCAGGACCACTTTGAAAAGGAAAACTTCCCCCTCACCCCAAAGAATATTGAGAAATACAGCATAAAAACCCAAACCATATATACTAAGAAAGCATCTTTCAAATAGCAACTTTTCACTGACAACATTTTCTTTCAAAAAAAAAGTTATTATTCAAATGGAAACAATTTTTATGTTTTTATTTTTAATCATTTTATTTCCACTGCTTAGACTTGTCCACATGGACAATTTGTCCTCAGTCGCTCAAGGGAACTGACATCTGTTGACCCTCCACCCCCACCATGTATACCTGTCTGCATCGGGGCCTTCACACTGGCTCTCACACCGTCTTTGGTGGGGTCTACAGATGCATGCTGCGGCTACTAGGGCCGTTGAGTCGGTTCCAACTCAGAGCGCCCCACAGACAGCAGAACACCACACTGTCAGCTCCTCACCGTTGTAATATCCGAGCCCGTCTTGCGAGGGCCTGCCTCCTTTTCACGGACCTGCTGCTTTCCCGAGCACGATGTCCTTCTCCAAGGACTGGTCTCTCCTGACAACACGTCCAAAGGACA